AGGACTCCGTTTCCCAAGGGAAGCCGCTCAACAAGGAGCAGGAGGAGGTCCTCCGCTCCAAGCCCTCCGTCCTCGCCCTCATCGACGAGCTCGAGAAGCTCCGCCAGCCTCTCGCCTCCGCCCTCGCCAAGGAGCTCGAAGCCTCCGCCGCAGCACCGAAACCCTAGCCGAGAACTCTGGCTCCAGGCATCCTCAATCGAGGTTACTTGATATTTGTCTTTTTTGCATCATTTTCAAGCATCCTCAATCGAGGTTTCAGGTGCAAAACAAGCAAGATGTTGCACCAACCAAGAAAGAAGAGGACGGTGACAACTGGGATCTTCCAAAAGTAGACGCTCCATATATTTCAATCGCATGATCCACTTACATTCTGTGCGATTCTTCACATTTTATTGTGAGATGCGTTTTATGCATGTGAGTTTTAAGTAAAATCACTTCCTTGAACGCACTTAGTGTATTGTTCAATTCACATTTCTAAGTTATGCAATTCATTCATTTGTGCAACAAAATTTTATTCTGCCCTTGATTTTCTGAAATCTTGCAGCAGTATGTGTTTTTAACTCCCCTCTTGCACCAATTTACAGTCCCTTTATTATGAAGTTGAATTTACCAGTCAACTAAAAGATACTTGTCAGATAAGAAAAATATGTAAGAGTAGTATGTGAGGAAAATTTGTGTTAAGTAAAAATTTCTATTCATAATTAGATACTGAAACATTCTTGGTATTGAATTCCCTAGTATAGCATCTTCAGAATGAGAGCGGTTGGCCAGGTTAGAAAGGTCTGTTGTAATAAACTTTGCTTTTGTTTGGAATTTGGAGCTATATGGGTAGGTTACATCCCTGTGAACTTTTGTATCTTAGTATTTTTAGCAGTGATATTGTTTTATTTTGTTTATTTAATCCCATAACTTTAATGTCTATTTGCAGGTTACATATCATACAACTTTGTGGTAGGTGCTTACTCGTATTGGGGGCCAAAAGCTGGCTATAATATATACCACATGGTGAGAATTTGCTTCACTTGATGACCCCTAGTGCATATGATTATACTATTATAGTTCCTTCTTTCTTATATATCTTGTTCCTTGCATGGAATTTAAACATGCCTAGTCAGTAAAGACACTTTCCATGTAAGAAATTGCATCCTATTAACGTGCCATATTAAAGTTGGATTACTTTGATAGATTGATGCAGATTTGATATTTGGAGGAATTACAATTGTATGTGGAATAGTGATATTCAGAACAAGACAGTTGTAAGCGCTAGATTTTAGTGTTCTTGATGTTTATGTTTTGTTTTGTTTCATTTTGTCCCTTTTTCTTAAAATGTGAGTGACAATTTTCATGTTTATTATATTTGATGATTTTAATTTTTCTTACAGATCAATCGTGACCCAGTGGGAATGCGAAGTCAGATTGAGCAATTGCAGTCTGAGCTTCTATTTTACAGAGGTGAAAAGGACCAACTGATCATGAAAATTGAATCAATTCGAAATGGTAAATCTTGGGATGAAATTGAATCAAATTCAAATCAGGTTTGAACTCATCAAATCATTTTGTTAATGTATAATTATAATTTTCTGATGAAGCAATCCATCACTGACTCACGGTCTAAACTTGTTTCTAGGATTATGACCTGGTTAAATCTTATGTGGAAGCATTGGTCTGTGTTCTCTCTTTTCCGTTGCCTACTGCTATAATCTCTTTAGATTTAGTTTAGGTTATTTTATTTTCGTGTCTGTTGCTTTTCTTTATCTTAACATGATGGCTGCAATTTCGTTGTTCTCTCCTTTTACTTACTTTTTACCAATTTTGTTGTTGATAATGCAGATTGGATAGTAGAGCCTCAATTTTGGACTTGAGAGTGGAATGTCAGGATTTAGAAAGATTTTCCGTCATCAATCGATTTGCCAAGTTTCATGGTCGGGGGCAAAATGATGGGGCAGAAACCTCATCCTCTAAATGCAACTGCAAATGCTCATAAATCATGCCCCCAAAAATATGTTACTGTAGTTCCAATGCCTACAAACCTACCAGACAGGGTACAATGTCTTTCACTTTGATAATTATTTAATTCATTTTTCCATCTTTCTTGGTCAGTTGTCTCCACAACATCCTGTTTCTGGTCCTTCTCTTTCAACTTATATTATTGCACTTCATCGCCATAGAACCATACAACTGGCAATGTAGGAGAAGAATGATACTAGATTGCCTCGTCAACCAATGGAGGCTATTAGATCTTTTCAATCTATATATGTATGTATGTTAGATTTGCGCAATCTAGTTATCTTTTACTATTGGTTTTCAGGTTCCAAGCCTTTTGTATATATTAAGATAAGATATGCAGTTTACTTAGTTTTAACCATACCATTTAATGATTTAGTAATCACTTATTAAATTGGTTAAACTGATCTATATTAAAAAATTAAATATTTGGTTTTTATGATGATACATTTGGTGATACTTATTCCAATTTAGTTTTTATGATGATAGATTTGGTGATGCATATTTTTTTATTAGTACATTATGTGATCATGTGATTAATGTATTTTATTTTTTTTAGGGGGGGATGGCATTATAACTTGTGGTATCATTTGGATTTTTCAGGCATAAGCTATAGTATTTTCAACTCTCCTAATGTGTGGCATGATCAATTTGCATAGAAGAAACACCTTTTTACTTATATTTTTTATTGATATATTAATGTTTAAAGCTGTTGGGATGAGGTGCTAGAAGGGTATTGTGCCTATTGTTGCTAGAAGGGTGCTAGAAGTCCAAAAATAAGCATGATTTTTTTTAATGCAATCTACATCGATTTTCTTGAGAACCGATGTAGATTTAAGCATAAATCTACATCGATTTTCTTGAGAACCGATGTAGATTTAAACATAAATGTATACATCGTTTTTTCAGAACCGATGTAAAAATGTATACATTTTCTACGTCGCTCTATTCTACATCGGTTTTAGAATCAATGTAGATACCTTTAAAGAACCGATGTAGAATATGCATCTTGTAGTAGTGAGAAGTGGTTGAGAATACTTGAGACTAGGAGTGGTCGTGACCCGGATAGTCTAGAATACTCACTACGAGCCTAAAGAGGCTGAACAAACAATACTTGTTCTTCATTGATTATCTAGTAGAACCCTTCAGTTGAAGGAGACTAGACGTAGCTTAGTTTGAGCGAACCAGTATAAAAATGTTTGCACAAGTTAGTTATTTCTCAGACGTAAATTTTACTTAACCGTCTGATCATATTGAAAAATTTCGTTTACCTTCTGCTCTTCGCCAAAACTATTTTTAGACGAAAAGTACTATACACTCATTAACTATTTCTAAGATGCTGACGCAAACTTTGTTTAGCAAATCCACTATACTGAAAGCTTCGTCCACTACTTATTACTAAATGCAATTATCTTCAAAAGGAAAATGTATGCAATTAATTTATTTTTCCAAGAAACATTTTCCTTGAGCAGTTGATAAAACTCTCAAACACAAACCTTTTGCTAAGAAAATCTTGCACAAGTCTTCAAATGGTTAAGATAACATTTTTATGAGCCGAACAAAAGTCACCTTGCGAAAATAGTCTAAATTCTCTTCGTTCACACACACACACGTATTCAACCCCCTTTTCTATGTGTTTTCATCTAACTTCAAGTTGAATTGTGCTTGCTATATTAAAATACTAGAGATGATGTGTTGTTGTGATGATGTCTTATTTGGAGTTGTTCTTTGTTGTTAAGCTAACTTTACAACTTTTCTTTTATATGTTGTTTATTTCACAAACTTGCTCTTATTTTTTCATGTGCTAGACTACATTTATGTTGGAGGGGGCGAACACAAAGTTGGATGGCCATGCTAGAGATGAGGGATGACAGATAAACCTGTATCCTTGTGTAATACCTGAACCTGTCTCGATTTTGATAGAGTTTGATAGGGTACGGGTACAAGTACAGATAAAACCCAAAATATTAAATCAGGAACGAGTATATACTTACCCGCCCCGTCCCCTTCCCCATCATCGTCCCCCTCCTTGTTTTAATACCTGTTCTCGATTTAATTATTTTAAAAAAAATTAATATTTAATTATGTGTGATTGTTTATTATGATGTGAAACATTTTTAGTTTAATATTGTGTGGTTTAATATTTAATTTTTGACAGGTACAAGTATGGATATACCTGATACCCGAGAAGGACGAGGATTGGGACAAAAATTATATACCCGAAGGATACGGGGATGAGGACGATGATGGGTTTGAATCGTGAGAATGTGAACAAGTATCATGAAATCCGTACCTGACCTGCTCTATTGTCATGCCTACTAGAGATGAGATTTTGTTGAGCTATTCTGATACAACATTCTATAGAGTGCTTGACCGACACCTGTTTTTATGTATCCAGCCCTAAATATTTTTGTAGACATTTGTATATAGTTAAAGAGATTAACATAATCACATAAAGGGATTTATGTTTTAATGTTAAAATAGTCACACACACTACTAGAATTTCCCTTATTACATGCGACTTTTCCTGCGAATTTTTTATAAAAATTTGCAGGAAACGTTGTTCCTGCAAATTTTTCTGCGAAATTTTATTTGCAGGTAATACCTTCGTGGATAATATATTTTTGCGAATTTTAAAATTCGCAGGAAATTTTCCTGCAAAATTTCCTGCAAAAAAAATTCGCAGGAAAGTTTCCTGCAAAAAAAAATTTGCAGGAAATTTTCCTGCAAAAAAAAATTCGCAGGAAAATTCGTAGGAAACTCTCTTGCGAATTTTTTCACAAGAAATTCTACAGGAATATTTTTTACGAAAAAATTTAAAAAAATTATTATAAATTCTATATTTTAAGAATTCATAATCCTTTTATTTTCATGCCTCATACATAATCTTTTAAATTCTAAGATCGTAGATTACAAGCCTAACACTCAACCATACAATTCTACTTGTAAGGTAAGTGTTATTCCAACTTATATACTCTTTAATTGTTTTATTTTCAATCGATGTGGGACTTGAAGATTTTTTAAAATATTAATCTTATTAATTTAAATAATTTTTTTTATTTTTCCTGCGAATTAAAATTTGCAAGAAAATCCGCAGGAAAAGTTACCTGCAAAATTTTTCTACCATTTAGTAAACATTACTTGCAAATTTATTTTTGCAAGAAAATGTGCAAGAAATAAAATAAAATTCTTACAATATTTTCTGCAAATTTTTACCATGAAATTTTTTTTCGATGATTATTAAAATTGTAACAAAATCTGTAAGAAATATCTGTAAATTTTTTTTTTGTAGGAAAATTCGCAAAAAATTTCTGCGAATATTTTTTGTAGGAAAATTCGCAAAATATTTCTGCAAATATTTTTTTGAAAGAAAATTCGCAAAAACTTTCTGCAAATATTTTTTTGCAAGAAAATTTGCAAAAAAATAACACTTTTCTAGTAGTGACAATATTTTATGTTTTATATATCCTATACATATATTTGTTGCATAAATATTCAGGTAATGTTTCTAAGAGAATATTAGGTTAGATGATCTTTATGTTTTTTGTTGCATGATGTATGTTGTATGTTGTGCCAAATGTGGCAACCTGTCAAGTGGTTACATGTTACAATTCTTTTCTTTTTTTAAGGAATCTTCTTCTGAAAATTCGCTTAGAGATCTCGGCTTTTGAGATAGGACTTTTTTCGAACAACAGATATCAAACTATTTGTTAATTAAATAGTTTGATCAAAAAGGTTGCAGTTATGCGCAATTCCTTTGTCTTCCTCTATTATCCTTAATTGATGTTGTCATCTTGTTAGACGCATAGATCCATCCTATGGAAGATAATTCTCAGTTATCTCAATGCACAAGTTAATATAAATATAAATATAAAAAATATATATATATATATATATATATATATCATTGTCTAATACCATTTAGCACTTAATATAGCATTGTGTTGATCATTCTCAAGTTATGTACCAAAGTTACCTAGGATAGACGAGGCATAAATAAAAAGATTTTTTCTTCAAACATAATCTTTAGATTTAGACAGACCAGTGTTTAGTTGTTGGGAAAACCATTATTGTCCAAGTGTCATTTTAATATAGTTTTCTAAATTTAAGAATGTTGAAAGAAATGGCCATGTTAATTATGAGACAAACATCTTTAACAAGTCTTTGAAGTATACTGAGGGATGTTTGTAAAGAGAAATGATCTTCACGCGAACTATGGTCATGATAAACTTCAGTATGATATATTGAGAAATGACAAATTGTATTTTGATCAAGGAAATATTTCTAACATAAAAAGATATCAAATTAGACATAAGTAATTACAAAATTTAGACATGAACTACTGTGATGATAAGGTTTTGACCTTAATTACTTTAAGAGATGAATATTCAAATAATAGTTACTGCTAATTCAAAATTATAAGAGTGATTTCAACCACAATCCCTCTTTTTAGGGATTTGGTGATTATTTTTCAACTATTAAAGAAAAGATATTCATAAATGTGGTTAACAATAATATTAGGATTATTATGATATCATTAAGGTTAATTGTGTCAGCCGTATTTCATGGACATTACAAAAAGCCCCAAAGCTCTAAGCTTTGAGAAAGTGAAGAAGCATCAGATATTCTTATATGATTGAGTTTAATTTGGTTATGATGCATATGAGGTTTAGGTTTGATCTTGACCTTTTGGTATATATTAACCCTAAAATTGATTTTAATAGCTCATGTTTACTAAGATTCGTGGTTGAACTCAACCTTTTACAAATGTAGGCCAAAGCATAACTTTCAGAGAATTGGTTAGGATTCAACCTTTAATAATAATTAACATGTATTCACCTTTTAAAAAATTTACCCCAACAATTTTAAGATACCTTCGTGTTGATGGCAATGATCCAATTATTTTCTTCCCCCCATGTCTACATAGGTGAGAGAACATGGAAAGGAACTTCGACGTTCAAGTAAAAAGTGATCTAATAGAAATAATGAAAACTAAGACGTACTTGATACCCCATTTTGGTAGATGTACGTGTGTAGTTTAATTTGTTCGTAATTTTGATTCTTAATACAACAATATTGATATTCATCCAAATTATTTCGGGTGAATTGAGGTGAATACAGGGGTGAGATAGAGAAAAAAATATTAAAAAAAATTGAGAAAGAAATATAAGTGACAAGGGAAAAAAAAAAAGATATATAATAAGTAAATACGTTGAAGTTGAGACAAAGACAAAAATGTATATATAATAAATATTTTTCTTCTTACGCTTAAAAAACTTTTTCGTGCATGTAAAGAGGGATTTTCTTCTTTTTAGTCCTTTGTATTTATTTTTTTCAAGTTCATTCCTATAAAAAAAGTTTGTTCCATTCTTGTCCTTTAAATTGATTGATAAATCTATTATGAAGAAAAGGGGAAAAAAATAAAGACCAAAATTTGGGAA